AGTACAAGAATTCCCTGGACCACGCAGAACGTGCTCTTCTAATGGCTGGCCTTGCATGCCCTCACGATGAAGACCTCCTGAAAGAGTGAGTGTTCGTTGATTTTGCGTTACCTGAGTTGACACAACAGTACCTTGATAAAATTTTCGACATTTATTTCAAATCTTTGATTTTAGAAATTAATCGAACTTAGAAATGCTCCCCTGTAAAATTATCAGTTTCTGGTTTGTGACTAACTCTCACAGCCTCGTATAAACTAAACGTATTAGTGTTAAAGAAGTTATATCGTAACTAATTGTATCTTCAATAAATCATAAATCACTTATAATGTTTTGCATGAAAATGAATTATGAATTGAAGTAGGTACTAACTGAAAAGGCGAGACTGCAATGTAAGAGACTTGGTACATCATTGTTCGTATCCCAGACGTTTTACAGAGTTTTATTGAGAATTAACAATATCAAAGAGTGCAATTAATTGATTTTCATGTGTGTCTCTAAAAGAAACACTTTTTAACATGAAAGGAGGGGGATGTTCGCACTCTATCTCCGTGATCACTTCTTATTTGATAGGCAAAAGCATCATTGATCGAAACGAAATATTAAGAAATTCCAACGTCTGTCTTAGGCTCTTGGGGTACTCCATCCAAGGAACGTTCATCCGAAAGCAGGACGCAGCCAGCGTCTTCTCCTCCGTCTACGGCAACTCCGTCGGCGTCGAGGTGGCGCTCAACTTCCTGGACGAGCACTTCGACCAAGTGGAAGAATAGTGCGTAGCAATAAGTCACATTTATCTCTGCTCAAATTAGCACACGTAAAAATTGATTTAATAATTTGTCATTCATCTGTTTTTCAGCTATGGTTCCATGGGTGCTATTAACAACATTGTCGTTGGAATAGCTGGTCGTCTTACCACGCAGGAACAAAGAGATAAAGTATGTAATAAATACCATACAAAAAGAAAAGTTATTTTCTATTATGTAAACCACTTTTTATACTTGTGACATGAATATATAAAACGTATATTTATATCGAGGGTACCTGATAAGATTATAGATACTGTTAAGATTTTAAAGAATACCGTATGATAAAGTAACCTACGGATTACAACTGTTATCCTAGAGATGGCACGGAAAACTGTGAGTACATACACCTGATAACAATATGATTACGATAGGTCATCTCCAAACATAATTTACGAAAAAAGCCTAATTTGGGGGTTTATATATTTATAAATATTTATTAGTTTGTATTTAGTTTTAAAATACAGTCGAAGGTTAAGGTAAACTTCGGGGGACTAACATTTTTGGTTCACTATATCCGATGATGTCTAGATAAAGAAATAGTTTCTCCACAATCACTGATATTAATATCGAGAAAGCAAAATACAATAACAGCACGAACCGAAAGTTTTAATATCTTTATTTGAACTTAAAAAATTGATTATTTTCAATAAATTCAATTATTTACTATGTTTTTTTCGCACATTTTTCTTCAATAATTTCTCTAGATCTTCCCCAGGGTTTGTGCTCTCTCTATACTTCATTTCACATTGTCCACCATCTCTAAGTATCGTAATGCGGTCTTGACACCCTTCAATGCTTCTTACACTGTTGGAACACCGCCTCACTTTCCGAACGCCCTTTTACTTGCTTCACAGCATACTAGACACTTTCAGTAGCAGCATGGCACAAGGGCCAATGAAACGGACCGTGTTTTTCAACAGAATTGATTTTTTTTCCGGCGGGTGTCGCTCGGCTGTGGGGCTGTGGTAGTCGCGCGTTTCATGTCGCCTATGTAGAACCCATGCGTTTTGCCCTGCGAAATCTCAAGCAGCATCGAGCTTCAAACCGAAGCAAGCAGTCACGCGTCGTAGCCGCCGCCTGTAGAGGCCCAGGCCGGTCTTTGTTTCTCAATTGAAACTGGCACAAGGTCATCAGTAGGCTCCCTATTGCGGATTCGCTATTTCTACCTCAGGAGAGACTTCTTGGATTATGATCTTTGGTCGACATTTTCCCAAGCTGCGTAGTGTTAGAATTTGTGACAGTGTGACGATATTTTTTTTCAACGAAGTAATTAATTTCCAGGACGATATATTACCTACTATCACTATAGCCGAGGTTCATAGTTCACCATTACTGATGGTGCTTATTTGTAAAGTAAGTGAAACGTGTCCAGTGACTTAAGTTCGCTACACCAGAAAGTTCGCTATACCCGAGTTCAATGTAACCGGAGTCGACTGTAATTGATATCAGCTGACTTACGAAACGCCGTACTCGTGGTACTGATGGCGACCGAGAGAGTACGCAATTCATAAATGACATACACCGATGACCCTAATGACATGATTATACACGTCGCTTCTCCAATCATAATTTACGAGAGACTAGTACGTTTAATCTTGGTATGTTTGGTACAATGAGTATAAGGATTTCTATGGAAAATAGAAGAATGAGGTGTAACGATATACCTTAAATGAGTGGGAAATGAGGACAGTAGAGACAGGATAGCAAGGTTAAGAGTTGAAAACGAGATGAGAAGTAGCGGAGGAAAGAAGATGACAGGAGATGTAGGATTTGCAAAGGAGATGCGGAGGCAGGGAATCAAGTCATTGAGGGATTCTGGAGAAGTGGGAGAATGAATAATGAATAGAGAAGGTTCAGTCTGGTAGGGATATATTATGTGACGCTGGAAGTGAAGAGGGAGAAAAAAGAATACAGAAACTAAGGGTGCGGAGGCTCCGAAAGGCTCGATACGGCACCCCGTAGCACTACGTAATAAAACAATTTATTTCCAACATTTTATCAGTTCCTAATTCCCCCTTCCCCGTTTTAAATAATACTTTGGTGAATTGATATACATTTGGAAAAGAAGCTCTCCTAACAAACTGACAACCCTGAAAGTGCCTTCAAAATAATATTAATTGTTATTTTGTTCTATCATTAAATTTTACAATTTAATTCTCCTTGAAGCTATCGTTGTTATTTATTATGTAGAGAAAAATTGTGGGCATATTGTAAATAAAAATATTACAATTGCGAAAAAAGGGCCAAAGAGCCGGCCAGAAACATAGTTACACTCCCATTGCATTTAGGACTGGACCACGTCTATGTTAAAAAAGGAAAGATAATAGATAATGTTGGAATAGAACACGGAAGGAAGAAAAAGTTTTGTAAGCTTTAATCCCTATATAGCTAATCGAGTTGAAACTGCTTGAGTGTGCGGATGTCCGCGATGTCTGCGCATTTCCCGTCACTCGCGCCAAGACACTTTCTGGCACCATCGTCAGACGTATTCGACGCGCCTCGTCTCCGGAATATTCTTTCGGATCCGGCCAAGAAAATTTCCAAATAAATTTATAACAAGCAGTTTTTGGCCGCTGCGATCTCAGTGATGATCAATGTTAGGAATCTAACCAACAACTCCGAAAATCGTGATCTATGTAGGCGCGGCGTTTTGATAAATACCACAGTACGCAAGACTTTTTACTTAGCCATAATTTTCTTCACGACGTTGGTCACACTAATGTTTATTCCCAAGTCAAATCGCGCTGGCAATTCTGATTTTCAATGTCAGATTCGAATTCATCATATGTAAAAAAAAAATAATTTACCGAAAGTCTACGAACAGTATTGCCTCGGAGCTAATTGAACCTTGAACAATTTTAAAGTGAAAAAACTCGTGAGTAATTGCTAGAGAATGAATGGAGTCGACTCCCGAACTTCGCACCTTTTACGTTTTACGCGTAAGTCGCTGCAACCTTACCGATTTTTCGAATGAATGAGATTACCAGATGATTCTCATTAAACTTAACTCGCCATCTTATTTACATCAACATATAAAACAGTTGCCTTTTATTCATAAGATCGTCATGCAACGCTTGACTTCACATCCAAAACGAGCAATTGCAGAAATAGAATGAACTTGAATTAGGACTGAGTTTGGTCCAAGTTTAATCTCTTCAAAATTTACGAAGAAAACATAAAAAGTTTTAATAAAATGCTGGGGGAAAATCAAATGTATAGTTGTTATAAAAGATGTTGTGGACAGAACTTTCGAACTAATTGGGAAGGGACTCTAATATTTTTGCTTTTAACATTGATTCTCATGCAAATGCCGTTATGTGCTTATTAGCACAAAAAGCATAAAAATGTAGTGTGTGGTTAAAATTTAAACTATACATCAAAATCTGCAAATATTTTTTACGGCAATTACAATTTTGAAATTGCAATAAGATCGAAATCATATCCCGTATGGAGATAACACACAAGACCCATTGTGGGATAGACCTTTTTGAAACGGGTAAAACACTTTATTAGCTACTACATTCATTGGTGAGTTCAGATGGCCAGCATACCATATTTAAACAAAGATTAGCATCAAAGAAATGAAGAATGAAAGAAATTGTCAAACACATGCGAAACTATTGTTAAACAGTTTATACCCGTCCGGCGACGCCACATTTAGCTAGTTATAATTAACTCAATAGTTTTAACATTAAAAAATTTATTTCATTAAATAACTTAAAAAATTAACTAACTACTTCACTAAACTTTACAACTTTGTTCCTCCCTACGTTATTTATTCACTTCTTTCCGGAACTGCATGTAGTTCACTTATCGACAACAACACGTAACCTATACGCCATTAACTGGACGTAACATGCAGTCCCCGTTAAGCATGGCTACATATACGGTGAAAATAATTTCATCTGTCGAACATTTTCAAAGGCATTCGTGTTATGAAAAATCTTGTTTTTCTAATACGTTCTGTTTTTTGTTCATTTTTATTTTTATGGAATTCCAACTGCCATTTTGCTTGTGAGTAACTTAAATTTCTTTACAATAGACCAGTAAGAATTCATCCTACTTCGTTTGTTGTAGATGAAAAACTTCGGTTGACAAGCACCGCACAGCCTCGGCGCTACAGCTGACGCAGCTCTCGCAACCGTCGCGAAAAATCTGGAATGCTGCCAGAAACCCACGGAGAAAATCCATTTTTCAACGCACTCATTCCAACAGAGCCGCCGACGACACAGAGCCCGACTGAGCCGTCGACGACACAGAGCCCGACAGAACCGTCGACGACGCAGAGCCCGACACAGCCATCGACGCCCAGCACCACGACTGACGACGCAGGGAGCCTTCGTGCCACTACACTGGCCGTGCTGGTGCTTGCTATGGCAATCCGAATGCTCTAGCAGGTGGACCACAAAAATTATTTAAAGTCAATCCGAAAGCAATAAAAAATAAATCAAAAATACAAAAAACAAAGATAAAAGTAAATACTTCATGGAATACTTTTCTCCAACAATTTTATAAAAATAGCCAGAAACTTACAACAAATTTTAGTTTTTTTTAATTATTCACCCATCCAACTTGACGCTGTAAGAAACCATGGGTCTTTGCGGTTTTAGAATTTGAATACGTTGGTCTTAGTACAATATTATGAACTATTCTTAAAATAAAGACTAATGTGGTTTAAAATCACTCTCCTGTGCGTAATTTTGTTTAATTCATTTTGTTCATCATTCACGTTGACTAAAATAACGTAGTCTAATATATTCAGTAGGGATGCATATTTTTGCGAGACCTACAAGGAATCGTGTATGTACTGTGAATATTGTTGTTTGTGATGAAAAGTTAATGAATGTGAAATGAATTAAATAAAATATTTACTGATTGTGAGGCATTCTCATCTACTTCCTTGTTTTTTTCATTTTCAGTAATATAGAATCATAATTAGAATCTACATATTAAGAACATAATTAGAATATGAATTAAATTACAGTGTCTGTCACACTAAAATGATATAAATTAACTCAGAAAAAATCTTTTTAGACGCTTATATGTATATTTATGTGATATATGAAGTCAATAAATTAGTTATACATTTTTCTATCTCTCTGACTATGGCAACCTATCGAGCTGCATAATCGATTATTATGAGTACTGAGATTTAGCGAAGATTTTATTTCCTCGTATCAATGTCATATAAAGAGAAT